GAACATCCATCCTTTGGTAAGAATAGTAGTGACAATTTCAACCTGTAGCCGACTTATTTGGGGGATATCATATTCATAAATTAGTTTCCACAAAGAACCCAATTGTTCACTTTTAAGACCTTACTGTTGTGATTAGTAATTAATTGGTTATTATTTATTAACTGGTCATAGTTCACAAGTAGTTCTCAATGAGGATATTTTTATTTAGTAATTATCAAATATCTAATAAGGAACTACCTTTGTCCTAAATTTGCTACTACTTACTGCTTAGTTAATCTTGCTTCTCTATTAGTTAATAGTATTAAGTTAAGTGTTAATGTAGTACTACCTATTACTTCCTGCATAGTTACTTGTTAACAACGGACCATTATTCTAAAGTGTTACCCATTGTTCTACTAATTTATGATGGCTAAACCATGGAAAAAACATGTGGAATCTGCTAAATCATATAGAGAAGGACTTAGTAAGCAGGAAAGGGTGTGATAGGTGGTAAAGATCCATACAAGCTTGCGTCTTTGGCTCCTTGAATACAATAATAATAATAAACATAGCACCATCATCTAAATAGGCAGTTGTGCCCTAATGGTTAGAGAGTCGGACTTGTAACCCGAAGGTCACAGGTTTGAGTCTCAGTACCGACAGGAGTTGTAGGTGGAGAAGTGAATGTACAGCGCTCTCTTTACTCCGGGCGTTGGAGCAAATGGCTGCTCACTGCTCCGTGTGTGTGTGTTCGCTACTCACTGCTGTTCGCTTCGATGGGTCTTTCACGTCTTTCCTCGGACAGTTCTTTAGCACTCTTCTCCTTGATTTGTCAACATTTGGCAGTCAATAGTTCTCCATATGTTTGTCCCGGTCCAACCGGTCCCAAAACACAACAATACAGCAGACTTCCGGATTGATGACGTCAGTCCTTTTTTGACTTCCGGATTGATGACGTCAGTCCTTTTTTAACATGTCTGGCCACTGATTCAGTCACAAAATCTAATCATGAAAGCTAGTAGTCAAACCAATCTACGTAAGTGCACACATCTCTTTATCATCAATAAAAAAAGCAGCCAAGAAAGCCATCATCGCCGCTTCTCGTTCATCATTTACCGTCTCGTACAAGCATGAATTAGCAAAAACCCGAAAGTGAGATGTACTTACCAGTATTAAATTATCTTTTTAAAACCTCTTACTAATCTTTGCTGCTTTCTCTTGTTTCTATTGTTCTCATGTTTAAGATACCCAGTTCCTTCTTGTCCAGAGACCGGAATAGACCTTATCACTTTACACTGCATCACCAAGCTAGAGGTGGGGTTAATGTGCATCAAATTTCATGCACACTAATGTTAACATAATGCATTGGCAAATTGAAGGAGTGGAAAACCTGCAGAGTAATGGGCAAAGTCCAAACAGTTATGAGTAGAACCACCCAGACCCCAGACACTCTTCTACTAAAATTGTCTATCTCTCGTCAGCTGGCCACATCACATTCTGATTCTAATCTTTTTCATTGCCTTTACAAAGCTTGCAAGTCTGTGTCTTATTCTTGATACAGTGGGATGAAAGTGAAATAAGTGTTTGTGAGCTTTATGTTAATCTATTACGTAAAAACACAAGACATTCAAAGCTATACACCAAAAATATTTTAAATAATAAAAATATAGTTTAGTGTAGTTTTTTTCCCCCCTCAACTTTATAGCATTGAATAAAGTGAGTGATAAAATCTCAAATTTCAGTTTAAAGAGTAACTTCTCCTTACGAATGTTATGTTATTTGAATGGAACTTTAAATGAACCATATACAAAGTCATCGAACAGTTGCACATGGTAGACATTCAATTTTCAATACCTAATCAGACAGCTTGGCTTAATCATGTATTTTTGATCAAACTAGAGACATAGCCACACAGAGATATTAACGCTTGCTACATAAAACATGATAAAACTGTGAAAAAAGGTAACCACATTAACCACATATAACTTCTTCCTATGGTTGTCTGTTAAAAATCAGAAAGGGCAATAGTGAACACACCTTTCACAGACATTATTTCCTCTATATAACTAGATGCATTTCACACACACAATACACTGAGATCATGGTGTTAAAATCATCAGTATCTTGACTCCACAAATAAAGAATAAGGCTGTAAAATATTATCATGTTTGATTATTTAAATAAAGCAAAAAAGATGAAATAAGCTGCTGCTCATATTACAAGCAAGAAGACACCACTTTCCTCAACGGACAACATTTCTGAGTATTCTCACATATATCTGCAAACTCGACAGGCTCAGTTCATCACATTCCTTGCTAGGTTTGAAATAAAACAGCTCATACATTTTCAGTTTCTATTCCTCATGTTTTCCCTTCAAGGCACAGGCTAATATCTGAGACCAAACCTCAAAGCAAAGTTCTTAAGTGTCACTCACTTCAAGCATTATTTAAAATTTCACAGTACTTGTAAGGTTATAATGGACAACTCGATTTAAACATCTCACAAATAATAAAATAGTAAAATACCAATTGTTTTGCTCGTTGCCATAATTTTAGCTCATCGCTGTTAAATGACAGTCATATAGAATGATTATATTTGCTCTTTTTATGTATAGCATTTTATAGTAAATAACAATGTAACATTAAATATTATGCTGATACAGATGAAATGCTGAAGTGTGCAGTAGCATTGAGTGAGGTGTTCTGAATCAACAGAAAGGGGTCAACAGATGACAAACACACACACAAAAATGTAAAAGAAATTAAGAAAGAATGAATGAACCAATGAGAAAAATGAGATTTCCAATGAGAGTTCTTCCAGCCATATTGAAAAATAAAGTGGAAATAATCAGTTTTCCCTGTATGTATTTCAACTTATATTAAGAAAACTTATATTTTATATTAAGAAAGTTATATCTGTAATGATTCATCAACACGGCTGGGATCCATTTGCAGTTTTATTTGAAACTTAATCAAACAAGCAGAGGTCAAGACACAGATAAGGCAGTATCGTAGGGTAGACAGAATCGTGATCATAGACAGATCTGGCTAAAAGCAAAACTGTGACAACCACATATCCTGCAGCAGACATAACCACATGCACCATGCTTGCATATAAACATGCTGTCTTTATCATGAACAAATGCTAAGTGGTTTTATAAGCTGCTGACGTCATATGCTGATAATGCAGGTATTTATTGGTTGTCCATATATGTTTTATTGGATGATGATATATAGTTCTCATTGTCTGTTGAAATGTTTACAGGTGACAGCTGATCTTTTTGATTTTTTGCAAGTACTTCAAGTACTTGTAACGTTAATTCAGTGTATTTTTATTAACAAAGAGAAAAGAATGAAACAAAAGGGAAAGCTCTCAGTCACTGGCATGGCAAGGCGAGGATGAGCTGGTCAAGGTAAGATAGGAAAAGGCAAGGCAGGGTGAGGGAGCCACACAAGAAACGGCCTGAGAACCACTCAAAGCTGCACACTCACACAGAGACAAGACAACACACCACATGAGCATCATCAGGATCCTGTCACCAGACCAAGAACTAAACCAATCAAAGTCCCACAGAACTGGGACTTTTCTTCTTCATTATAGGCATTTTAATGTGTTGCTATTACCAAATGACTTAAAAAAACAAAAAACAACTGTAAACGTGTTTCTCCTATAGTGTATGTTCATGTTTCCAGATTTCAATTCATGTTTATAGTCTAATATTGTAATGATTCATCAACACGGCTGGGATCCATTTGCAGTTTTATTTGAAACTTAATCAAACAAGCAGAGGTCAAGACACAGATAAGGCAGTATCGTAGGGTAGACAGAATTGTGATCATAGACAGACCTGAGATCGGGGCAGGCAGAAATCGTTCGGAAACTGGGGCAGTCATAGGTCAGGGCAGGCGGCAATCCAAAGTCGATAGTCCAGTATCCAGAGCACAAGTCCAAGAGGCAGGCAGCAAACAACACGAGAAGAAGGCAGGCAGAGGTAATAACAGAAGGCAGTCCAATGTAACCAGAATAACGCTCAGAGATGTTCACCAAGGCAAAACAAGACTTCGCAGTGAACCTGGGTGAAAGAGCTCATTAAATAGTCTAACGTAATGGGGAACAGGTGTAGGGGAATAATCAGTGACAGGTGCAGGGCTGATGGGAAATGTAGTGCGGGAAGGAAACTAGTACTCTGGTGATGGGGCCCTCTGGTGGCCCGAAGGGAGAGTAACAGGAGCGCTCTCCGTGACAGAGCCCCCCCCCCTGCGAATGGCTCCGGAAGTGAGGAGGTGGTCGACGCCGGGGTCTTCCGCGTGGTCTGGGGGCCGGCCTCTCCGGATGGTCTCGGTGGTACTCCTCCATAAGACTGGGATCTAGAATGTCGTCTGCATTCACCCAGGACCTCTCCTCTGGACCGTAACCCTCCCAGTCGACCAGATATTGGAGAGTTCTCCCCCGGCGTCTGGAGTCGAGCAGTTCTCGCACCTGATAGATCTCCTCGCCCTCCACCGTTATGGGTTGGGGACCCTGGTCCTCGGGCGCCTCCTCTCCTCCCTCACCGGGACCAGCAGCGGGCTTCAACAAGGAGACATGAAATGTGGGAGAAACACGGAAGTGATTAGGTAAGGCCAATTCAAAAGATACAGGGGTAATTTGGCGAATAATCTGGAAAGGACCCACATACCTGGGACTGAGCTTACGGCATGGCAAACGGAGACGGAGGTCACGAGTGGATAACCATACCCACTGGCCAACACTATATTCTGGGCTGGGACGGCGATGCCGATCAGCCCGAATCCGCTGACGTCTTACAGCCTGCTGTAAATGATGATGAGCCTGATTCCAAGTCTCCTCACTTCTCTGAATCCAGTCATTAACTGTAGGAACGTTAGACGGTTCTCCTGACCAGGGAAACAGGGGTGGTTGATATCCCAGAATACACTGAAACGGAGTTAACCCAGTAGAGGGCTTGCGGAGAGAGTTTTGAGCGTATTCGGCCCACATGATATAACGGCTCCAATCCTGTTGATTTTGACTACAATATGAACGAAGGAACCGGGTAAGTTCCTGGTTGAGTCTCTCTACCTGACCATTGGATTGGGGATGGTAGCCCGAGGTGAGGCTCACATTGATCTCCAGTGCCTTGAAGAAAGCGGCCCACAGACGGGAGGTAAACTGGGGACCCCGGTCGGAAACGATATCCTCCGGTAAACCATAGAAGCGGAAGACTAGATTACATAAGTGTTCAGCCGTCTCCAGAGCGGTAGGTAACTTCGGCAAGGGAATGAGGCGACAGGCCTTAGAGGACCACCTAGCCTGTCGTGGATTGAGTCTCTTAGCCGTTCTCAAGTACTCCAGGTTACGATGGTCGGTTAGAACCGTGAATGGATGTTTTGCCCCTTCCAGCCAATGACGCCATTTCTCGAGTGCAGCTTTAATGGCCAACAACTCCCTGTCACCAACATCATAATTTCTCTCCGCTGGGCTGAGTTTGCGTGAATAATAAGCACATGGAAACATCTTTGCAGGGGAGCCCCGACGTTGTGACAGCACTGCCCCGAGTCCGATGTTGGAAGCGTCAACCTCTACGATGAATGGGAAACTGGGGTCAGGGTGGTGTAAGATCGGAGCGGTGGTGAATCGTTGCTTCAATTCCTGAAAGGCCTCGCGGGCAGCAGGTGACCAGTGAAGACGGCTAGAACCCCTCTTTGTCATAATTGTGAGAGGAGCAGCTACGGAGCTGAAACCTCTGATGAAGCGACGATAGAAGTTGGCGAATCCCAGGAAACGTTGCAGCTCCTTAATAGTAGATGGTAGTGGCCATTTTAGGACTGCATTGACCTTGTTCTCATCCATGGCCACTCCCTCCTGACTAATCACGTAGCCCAGGAAAGAGAGGGATGTCAGATGAAACTCGCACTTCTCTGCTTTGGCGTACAGTTGGTGCTGGATTAGACGTTTGAGAACAGACCTGACATGTTGGATATGCTCCTCGAGGGTTTCGGAATAGACCAGAATATCGTCAATGTATACGATAACATTCCTGTTGAGCATGTCCCTGAAGACGTCATTGATGAATGACTGGAAGATAGATGGACTGTTGACTAGGCCAAAGGGCATAACCCGATATTCATAGTGCCCAGTGGTCGTGGAGAAGGCAGTTTTCCATTCGTCACCCGCCCGAATCCGAATGAGATTATATGCACTGCGTAAATCCAGCTTGGTGAAGAGTTTGGCAGTTCTCAGCTGTTCCAGTGCAGAGGGTACCAAGGGTAGGGGGTAACGAAATTTAACAGT